TAAATAAATAAATAGGAGCAAATTAATAGAAAGAGTGGGGGTTATTGTTACCAGGGTATAGAAAGATTTATTACTGTCTCTTTTTGTATACATAGATCTGGTTTTAAACGTTTGATTGCTAACGCTTCAGCGAATTTCAAAAGGTTCGAGTTTGATTGTTTGTTAATCACCTTGAAGGACTTCAGTATATCAGCTTTATGTCCTGTATCAAGGAGATGTCTTGCGATAGCACTGCTGAATGCTTTCAATCCATTTAATCTTAAACTTTTCGGAATAAGTTCTTTGAGTCGGAGGTAGGCTCTCCTTTCTGTTCTGCCAATGTAACTGCTTTGGCAGGCACATGTAGATTTGTATACACAGTTGGTGGTAACATGGAAGGGATACCTGTCGACCTTTGATTGTGTCAAAGAACATGTTGCTTTGGACAGGACAATCAATTTCGCTGCAGGATTGGTTCTTGTCAGTGCAGTTTTTAGTCTCATATTGATTGATCCTGTGACATCGTCACCTTTGAATTGAAGTTTAATAAAAATAGGCTTTTTATTTGCTGTAATTTCTTTCGGTTTTTTATCTTCACATTTGCCGTATTTCTCAATAAATTTCAGTGGGTATCCGTTATTCTTTAAACATTTTTTAACATTCATAACTTCCTCTTCTAGTGTATCGGAAGTACATATTCTTTCTGTTCTGTAAAACAGTGTTTTGACCAGTGCCTTTTTGTAACTGATTGGACAAAAGCTATTGAAATTAAGATAACTACCATTCCATGTGTCTTTCTTATAAACTGAACGTTGAACTGTACCATCTTTTCTTCTTTTCATCGCAATATCGAGAAAATGGAACTTGTTTTCTTTTTCATGTTCCATAGTGAAATGGATATTCGGATGTGCTTCGTTGAAAAACTCTAGCAGATTTATTGCTTGTTGTTTATTATTACATACGATGAAGGTATCATCAACATATCTCGAATAATACGTCATTTCATCAATCGCTCGTTTGAGTTTGGTTCTTTCGAGGTTAGCCATGAAAATATCTGCTAGGACAGGACCTAACGGACTTCCCATCGCTACACCATCGGTTTGTTTGTATATGATATCGTTGAACTGGAACTGAACATCTTTTGTACAAATGAGTAATAGTCGTTTGAATTCTGGTACTGGTAGAGGTAGGATGTCAGAATGTTGACAAATTATGTCTATGGTCTCAAGAAGTGGTATTTTTGTAAACAAAGATGTTACATCAAAAGAAACCATAAACTTACCAGCAATATTTATGTGATTCATGCTGTCAGCAAATACAAATGAATCCTTTAGTGTATAGGTGGCTAATCGTTGACGCACTGGTTTATGGTTATACATACTTATAAAACAGTGCCATCACAAGACATCTCCTTGACACAGGACACGAAGTCGATACACTGAAGTCCTTCAAGGTGATTAATAAACAATCAAGGTCCAACCTTCTGAAATTTGCTGAAGCGTAAGCAATCAAACGACTCAAACCAGACCAATGTATACAAAAAAAGACAGTAGTAAATCTTTCTTTACCCTGGTAACAATAACCCCTTTTTTATTCATTTATTTCTCTATTTATTTATTACGTCATTATTGCAACTCTTTTAAATTACATCATACATAACTGATTGATTTCAATTCATATTTTCTTTATTACCATTAATCTATTTTCATGAGTTCTAATCACTATTTCAATGTTCCAGAACTTTCCCTCTCTAAATTTATTTATTCGAATCAACATTTTATAAGCTCATTAACTCTATCTGAATCTTTGCTACATCATCATACACATGTATTCATCTTTAATCACACTCTTAAGTATAAATATGTCAATGTCTGTAATAATGTTGAATTTTAAATATTTTAGTTTGTAAGCAGTTGATGAGGACCTAACGAAATAAAATGAATTCATGTATTATTCTGCACCAACCTTTGTTCTTGCTCTCTGTTGATGATAATAAAGGGAACTATGTGTATGACACAACAATTAAACAGTATTTCCATGTAGTATGAGTTTATAATAGTTATAGTTTAGATCTTGGATGGTTTCAATTTAAAGTCCATTCAACACATACGATACATTTCACATTTCTTATAAACTAGATCATAGAAAACCAATGAGCATATAGTTTATGTACATTTTTTATGATTATATAATACAATAAATTTAATACTATTAAAATGATGAAATCAGCGAAACTATAATTTATGAATGAATCAATCAGGTATAAGATAACAGGTCTCGGATTTTCGCGCGAAATTCACTCATCCATTTAGATAAATGAAGTTTTGGCATTATAACTGTTTACAGTTCCCTGATGAGAACCTTAAATCTAATTCCTAACTCTAACTATCAACTGTAAATATTAATCCTAATTCCACACACTGGAATCTTGATTTGGCCGTAGTATACATGTGGACATTCTCAAGGTCAATTTGGCATTGTTCAAATGTTGTCCATAAATTATAATCATGCCATAAAATCTTATATTATTTATTTGTAACATTGGAATAATAACTAAGTTTGTTCATGGTGACGCAATCATGACACGAAAATCAGTTTAGATGCAATTTCACATTTTAAGTTAATTAGATCATTTAAACTAATTATCAAAGGTTCTAACTATTTTAAATCACTTTCGTGAAATGTTAGATTATTTTAAGATCAGTTATCTAGTTATCTTAAAAACTTTGATAACTTTTCTTTATATAACAAATGAGTAATCTTAAATAAGCATTTGACTAAAAGTCAACCTAATGACAGTGTTATCATTATAAGTAGTTTCGCTTGTATTAAAGATGTCTATGAATATTTCAATCTTGTTGTTAATTGATTACTAAGTAGACGAAAGAAATCTAAATTTCGAAGCGTATCGTGTATCTTTATTGTCATCTGTGATATGATAAATGTTTAACCATTAACATATACTTCTCCAATAATTGAAGACTCTGGGGTATATGGCTCAGAATCGATCACAAATGCGTTGGTGTATACACCATTAATCTTCTCTGAAACCATGAGATTAAAATTGATTATACCTTTACTTCTATCATTAATCCTTTCTTTCTGTAATATATCCTCATACACCATCTTTCTTTTATACATTAATACCATTGAAATGACTATATCTGTGAATTTGGTATACATCATTTTGTGTTAATCAGTTGTGGCAACTTGGACCGATATAGACATGTGCTTGGTCCTACGTTGTTGCTGACTGACTGATATATTTCATACTATTTGAAATCATTATTAAACATTGAGAATATAAACGTAGTTTTTCAATATCTTTATGTGGTTCCCTTTCACGCCACATAAATCATATCAACATCATGGAAACGTGCTAAAGTGTTTTAATGCTGAGGCTAATTTTTATATTAAATCTGTGCTGAGAATAATTATTCAAAAGAACAACGAAATCTTTATACAGTTTCATTATTAAACTATCCATAAGAGTAATAATAACTTCTAATTTATAAGCATATTTCAATGACATATTTCGTTGTCATTATCGGTAGTGGATGTAGAATTTATTGGATTTTATTCTAGAATGACACACTTCGATAGTATATATCAATGAAATCACTAGTTACATGATTATAATTACTATGAATTTCTGAATTTCATAGTTTACATCCTTAGATGGTGGTTGGAGGTAGTCGACAGGAAACCCTGATGACGCGGGTTTCGTGTTACTTGGCACTCGTCAACAAGGTGTATCTGTAATCTTGAGGGAACTGGTGCTCCCTGGTGGATTCGATCTCGTGTCACCCAGCTTCACAGTCAGAGACGTTACCACTGAGCTATCCGAGCTGCGCCCGACCTCCTGTAGGACTGAGATGTAATCACAATTGATTGATCACTGGGTGGTGACCAATGTCATGTGGTAACGTCTGTGACTGCGAAGCTGGGTGACACGAGATTGAATCCGTCAGGGAGACCAGTTCCCTCAAGATTACAGGTACATCTTGTTGACGAGTGCCAAGTATCACGAAACCGAGTCATCAGGGTTTCCTTCGACCACCTCCAACCACCATCTAATCTCAATATATAGTGCGTGCAATGTTAAGTCACCTAGACTGGTGGCCACATTGCAACATGATCGATAGCATTCGATCTGCACTAATAAGGACTTGAAACCATGACATTGATCACCACCCAGTGATCAATCAATTGTGATAGTGTACATCCTCTATATAATATAATTAGTTACATAATAATTATTGCATAGGGGAAAATTATCGATTTATCCATGTCAGTTATACATATGGATACATATTTTTACCTTTTATTGAAATCATATTCAGTAATTATAAGTGTTTTTTTTCCTCCTTTTTTTTAAATTTTATCTCGAAACAATATCACTTGTGACGTCATAATGAACAGTTGTCACATTGCATTTTGCAAATTTTATCATTATTATCATTATTATTATATTTCATAAGGAGTATCTTATATTCATTATACATTAAAATGTAAATCTCTTTTTTTTTCTATGATTTTATTCAATTAACCAAATGTAATCACTATGATGTAATAAGTAGGCGTAATGTATAATCCCGTTAAATCCCTACGAAACAAATGTTCAAAAATTTGTATTTATATAATAGATCTATTTCTATGCTTACTCATTGTAATAGAACATGTAAGTGAATAATCATAGAAAAGCTTGGGATTTCTTTGATTCATTTAGTTTAATTAAAGAGGGATTTTATGGAGATTGTAGTAACATTAATAGTTGAATTCATGAATCAGTTGAAACTAGCTTGACCATCATGGAAAATCTGGAAGCACTGGACACCTCAGTGGTCTAGAGGTTAAGTGTGGATATGCACTGATGACGAGTTCCACACTGTGACGAAACGACTGTCCAATGCTTTCAGGTTTTCCATGATGGTCGTAATCTTGTAAATGGTTACTATGTCACAGATAGTTAACAACATCATATGTCAACTAAATTCCAAACATTCTATGTAGTTAGATACATCAGAACATGTTGATTTAATCATATATATAATAAGTAAAAGAATAGTTGTATGTAAAGGGATACCGTCGATCATCATCATCATCATCATCATCATCATCATCATCATCATCATCATCATCATCATCATCATCATCATCATCATCATCATCATCATCATCATCATAATACTGATAGTGTATCAGCTGTCTTGCATGGAGGACAGCTGACAGATGCATTCTAATTAAGAACCGGAGTCAGACAAAAATGTCTACTCTCCCCTTCCCTCTTTCTTCTGGTGGTTGACTCGATTAAGAAGACCTCGACATCTAAGGGAGAAAACGGAATACAATGGACAGCTCAGAACCAACTAGACGATTTGAACTTCACACATGACCTGTCCCTCCTATCCTATACATACAAACAAGTGCAGATGAAAACAATTAGTGTAGCAGCAATCTATGCATCAGTAGGCCTCAACATACAGAAAGGGAAAAGCAAGATCCTCAAATGCAACACGGAGAACACCAACCCACTCACACTTGGTGGAGAAGCTCTGGAAGATGTAGAATCCTTTACGTATCCAGAAAGTATAATCAATGAACAAGGAGGATCAGACGCACTCGTAAAGACAAGGAGTGGCAAAGCAATTACCGCATTCCTACAACTGAAGAACATATGCAACTCAAAACAACTTTCAACCAATATCAAAGTCAGAATGTTCAATACGAACGTCAAGACAGTCAGTTCACTGTACGGTGATGAAACTCTAAGAACTACTACAACCATCATCAAGAAGGTAAAAGTATTTATAAATAGTTGTCTACGCAAGATACTCAACATCTATTGGCCGGATACCATCAGTAACAGCCTACTGTGGGAGAGAACAAACCAACTTCCAGCTGAAGAAGAAATTAGGAAAAGACGATGGAAATGGATAGGACATACATTACGGAAAACACCAAACTGCATCACGATGCAAGGTCTTACTTAAAATTATGAAGGGAAACGAAAAAGTGGAAGTTTAAAGAACATATTACGTCTGGAAACAGAAACATTTATGAAAAGCATGACTAACAACTAGAACAATAGCAGTCATAACACCATAGTATGTCGCACATCTAAAAGATGCACATGTTTAAAAAATAATTTTTGTCGAAATATAAAATGGATAAAATTCTATTTTTTTCTTCCATGGTAACGAAAAAAAAGGGAAAAAATTGTCCACTTAAATAATTGCAAAATCTGAGAATTGAAAATACTATCTTATTACACTAAACAATAGTTTCTCTTATCAAAACATTGTAAATGAATATATAATAGGATAAATCGTTATGACAAAGACAGCTGGTAACTAAATGCTTGTTTTGTTGTTTTTGTTTTCTATTTAAAGATAAACAGATAGAGGGGGGTATTAAAGAAAATGAATAAATGAATGTCACACTGAATCATCATCATCATCATGGGGTATCAATTTCATGTTGATCATACAATTGTCAATGTTTGATTTAATTATTTAATGAAGAATATTTTGTGAAGATGAATGATAAAACCGAAGATGGAGAAGCGAAAAAAAATGATAAAAGAATAATGAATATTGTCTTCAATTACTAATTTAATTGATAAACAATTAGTTAAGTGATTCATATCAACAAATGAGATTTAAAAAATATTGTCAGAATAGACATAACACTTTCCTAGTTAAACAAATGGAAAGATCAGAGAGAGGTATTTGTAGATAATGTAGTAATTTTAACAGTTGAATTCATGAGTCATTTGAAGCTAGAACGTCAAGAAAAACATAGAAACACTGGATAACCGTTTCATCCTAGTATGGGACTTTTCGAATGTGCACATCCACGATCTCTCCTTAATGAGATTCGAACGAGGACCTATCAGTTCATGGTGGTCTAGCTTCAGTTGACTCATGATGTCAACAATTAAAATGATAGCTTTATCAGAAAGGGGTTTTTGTGGAAATTGTAGTACCATTAATAGTTGAATTCATGAGTCATTTGAAGCTAGTCTGGCATGAAAAACCTGGAAGCACTGAACAGCTCATTGGTCTAGAGGTTAAGCGCTCGCGCACAAGACTGATAGATCCTGAGTCAGAATCTTGTGGATATGCATTGCTGAGGATTTCCATACTAGAACGAAACCGACGTCTAATGCTTCCAGGTTTTCCATGGTAGTCTAGCTTTCATCAACTCATGAATTCAATTATTATAAAATAGAAAGAGCATAACACTTTCTAGTATCATTTCATTCTAATAGAAATAATGAATCATTTATTACTTATTCTCTTTGATTAACTTTCTTCATTCGACAATGATTAAAGTAAGGATTTCTTTCAATAAACTAACTCTCTGTGTAAACTTCATATACAAAGAAAATAAATCAGTCAATATGATCTGTATTAGTTCATTGATAAATAATTTGATTAAAAAAAAACATTATAAACAAGTAAACATTAGCAACAACAACAACAACCACATGAATAGAATAGGAAGGGAGAAAAACAAACAAACAACCTAATGGGTTGTATTCATTTACAAACTCATTTATTTATTTAGTTTTTGTGTTTTAACACTTGAATGTAAACAAATACAAATAGTCGGCATTAATAAACAACATTTTATAGTCATGTTTATATAAAATATGTATGTATAACTCAGTAACCTATTTGTGATAGTTTATTTGGAATGATTATATTGTTTATAAGCAAAGTTAGCAATGGAATTCTATTTGGGACTCATCAGCTAAATGTACCTGGATTCTAGAGCAGATATTCATTCTAAGACTCGAACCGAGTTCGGATAGCCACCTGCTTGTGTAATAGGGTGAAGTTTAAATACACTTATTATTGTTTACTTGTATCATCTCATTGTTATTTGGGATTGTAAATGATCAGTCTTTTGTTAGCCAAAGAAGTAAACAATGACATGTTTAAGATCAATAAGAACCAATCAACATCAAGGTCTACAGGACCACAGAAGCACAGGTAGAGAAATTTGAACACTTCACTGCTACTTGAAGTTTGTGGTGTTGTTGTCAAGATGAATGATGAAAGTTCCTTGACCAAACCATCCAGCTCAGAGAACAAAACTCCATCAAAATCTTGTTAACTACCATACATCTTTATCTATAAAGCTTATGACTTAAGACAATATTGAAGCAGGATGCATATATTCCAACAAGAGACTGATCAATTGCTGTCTTAAACAACCAAGTGATGATACGAACAGACAATACCAGGTGGATCATATCGTTTGTTAGTGTTTTTTTCCTTACTTCTTTTCATAGAAAGTGAACTGTAAAGAAATAACAACTATCAGTATAGGGGTTTGTGGAAATTGTAGTATTTTCACAGTTCTATTCATGAGTTGATCAAAGCTAATCCAATGCTTTCAAGTTTTCAATGATGATCTAACTCAAATCGACTAGTAAATTCAACTATTAAAGATAAAGATTAGTAGACATAGAGTCTTCATTGAAGTGAATTGAACGGTGAGACTATAATTCATAGACGATCTTTGAGCGACATCTAAGTGACTTTGAGAGTATCCACCTATAATGCTAAAACTCAATTTAGTCAAATGGATGGGTGAATTTCACACGAAAATCCAAGACCTGTTATCTTATACCTGATTGATTCGTCCATAAATTATAGTTTTGCCAGTTGAACAAGTTAGTTATTTTTCACAGAAAACTACTATATTTGATAAGTTATAATAGATATATAAGAATTATTTTCATAGTTCATAAATGTCGAATGACTGAATTTAACTATAACATGTAAGTTTCATAACTAAGCACAGTTAAAAAGTGGCTGATGGTAGAAAGTATTATTCGTCCAATTTGAGAAAGGTCAGATAGTTGTACCTTCATCATATTGTTAATATTCACTCTGACACTAGAATCCAGTGCTTTTTGTTTCAAACGCTAATACAGCAACCACTGAGATACTGAGTCCAGGTAGCTACTAACTTGTTTATCTGGGTGGTGTTAAGAATTGTAACTGATACCAATATTGAAACAGCTTATTTAAGATGAATATATACCGAAAGAGATTGATCAATTCTAGTCTTTATTATCAAAAAACTGTATAATAAGCTGTATAAGATAGAAAATGAAGACCTTTGTTAACTCCCGTTTATTGATTGATCAGTTCACATGGTATAAAATGTAATTCATGCATAATATGGATTTTTGATCTATTGGGAATAAATAAAACTCTCATGTTATTGAGTAACCATTATGCTTTACTAATAAAGTATTTCTAACTATATAAACAGCTAAAATATTATAATTTCTATCCAATTGGAATTATTTCCTGAAAAAATGTACTTATCGCTTATCTGTATTATTGAGACGGATTGTTTTTCTTTGCTTATGACTTCCATCCTCGGTTACTAAACTGATATCCACGAATTAAGTCTAGACCACTGAGCCGGCATCAAACGGTGTTAATCTTTAACTTTAACCAATCCACGAAATTGCGCCCTCGTCCACCATTTTTTTCAGTGAGTTACCATCTCGCAACAGACTCGTAATTTTGTAGATTGGTTGAAGTTAGACATTAACACCGTTAGATTCCGTCTCAATGATCTGAAGGTTAAGCCTTAGCTCGCGAGATCGAAGATCTTGAGTTCGAGTCTGCCAAGGTGGTGTCTTGGATCCGCATTGCTGAGGAGTCCCGTACTATGACGAGTTGGTTGTCCAGTACTTCCATGTTTTCCATAGTGATCTAGATTCAATTGGTGCATGAAATTAACCATTAAATTACCATAATATCCACAAACCCCTTCTGATTATCCGTTTATATTATTTTAACTTTGTACAACTGTATTTTCAACGTGAATAAATGTTTCATAACACAAATTCTTGTTTATGATGTATTTGCGCTATACATCTCGAACAATATGATTACACATATACACGTCAAGGTATTTTATATGAAGATTAATAAAGGTCAATATAAATATGAGTTTGTGATTGAGATCATGAACTGATTAATGTAAGACCATCATTGGAAACCTGGAAGCACTGGATGGCCGTTTAGTCCTATTGTGGGATTCCTCAGCAGTGCGCATCCACGATCCTGCCCGTGGGATTCAAACCCATGGATTTCGGTGTCGTGCACGAACGCTTAACCTCTAGACCACTGAGTCTGCGAGCATCCAGCGG